CTGCAGCCGGGCCACACCCGGGCACGGCGCCTGCAGCAGCCCTGCGGGCAGGAGCAGCAGCTGCCCAGGGCACAGCACAGCAGCAGAGACCCTGGGGTCAGCAAAGTCACTGCCCCACAGACCCAGGGAGGCCCCAGTTCAGCTCTCTGTACACCTTCAGTGCCCAGTAACATGGCCCAGCACCCCCCACAGCGCTCCCAGCACCTTCAGGGGGAACAGAAGAGCTGGCCCATGAACTGGAACAGACCCCCAGGAACACAGCCATGAGACCACCAAGTCCAGCAGGAGCCAGAGCACACCAGCTTCCATGGCAAACTGCAGCCAGATGCAGCTGGGGCCAGAAGCTGGCAGCCATGCTGCAGTGCCTGGGGGGCACACCACATCCCCCCATCAGCCTGTCCTCCACCCCAATTAATTTTAAGTCCTCACCAAGGGACACCATCCAACCAACAGGCCCTCAAGCAGAGGGGCAGCTTGTGGAGGATGCTGCCCTTGATACCTCCAGGAGAGAGAAGAAAGCCCTGTCCTGTCCAGCCTTCACCTCCCTTCTCCATGGGAAGCAGCCAGGAACAGCATCAGAGCATCAGGCACAGCTTTCCAGCCGCCCAGACTGAGAGGGGCTGCTCCCTGCTCCAGCCTCACAAGATTCCCCATAGTTCACCACCTGAAGCAACCAAGATGGGGAAAGCTGCAGCATTTGGTTAAAGTACAGCAGAAGAGAGCTCAAAAAGGAGAGCCTGTTCATTTGAGGTTAATAGAGGAAACCAGTTTGAAGGAGAGTCTGTTCCAGAGAGAAGCAGCTGCCACAGCTCCTGCCCCTCACACCAGAGCTACAGCCCAGGCAGCTTTATGTTTTCTTCTTTAGTTCCTCAAATCTCCGAGAAAGATCATCAAAGTCGATGTCTTCAGAGGCAGAGGAGTTGGCGCCAGCAGAGGCTGTTGGCAGCGTGTCTGGCACGGATGGTAACTCGGGCAGCACAAAGTTATCCGAGGCATCAGGAACTCCAGCTCCTGGTTTAGGAGAAGCTTCAGATTTGGGCTTGGGCCCTGTTTTGACAAAGAGAAATACCATTTCACCACCACACTCTCTCCAGGCCAAGCAGAGCCACACAAAAGAAAGGCTGTTCTTCCAAACCAGCAGCATCCACATATTTTTCCAAGCAGGACCAGTGCCCATGCACCTCTAACTGCATGTAGACCCCATGGGGGAAACACAAGGTTTTTGACTGATACAGCTACAAAAGAGGCTGCAGCCACAACAGGTCCCAACTGGTGACCCTACCCTACAGCTGCACAGACAGCAGCAGATCCCTGGGACCCTGGGAGCACAGCCCCACCACCCCGTGTCCTGTCCCTCCAGACACACTCACCAGGCGCTGGCGCAGAGCCGTCCTTGTCAGCGCTGGGCTCCTCGATCTGGAAAAGACTCTCAATTACCTCAGCTCACTCTCCAACCTGGCACAGGATCACACAGGCACTGCTCATGGCAGCCACAGCCACACCACCCAGAGCAAGGCACACTCTCAGGAGAACCTGCCTCTTCCCAAGTAAAGGAGGTAGTGCCTCAATTTTCGTCTCCCTCCCTGTCAATCACAGCAGCTTCACCAGCCACATCTTGGAACTGGATGAACAGAGCACACCCATGAAAATATTTATCAGGAACATTAAGTACCCTCTTCATCCACATAACCATGAATACTGCTTCCCTTCTTTCACCAGCATCAGGTCCTTGTACCCAGTGCCAAGGTATGAAATGAAACCCATCGTGGTTCCTGGTCTGGCTGGGATAGAGGCCGAGGGCACAGGGAGCTGTGCTGGTGTCACACCTCACTCCCTGGGGGCTGCTCCCAGTGCCACCCATCCCCACCCAGCCAACCGGACTGCCAGGCTGCAGTCTGTACAGGGGTGAGCACACTCAGCTGCTTGGCTGTGCTCACTCCCGCTCAGGAACAACTATGAGAGCAAAATGAGGCAAGATCACCAACTGCAGCAACAGAAACAGTCAAGAACAGAAAGAGAAGACTG